GATTGCAAACTCTAACAGGCTGAACACAAATTTAACATTTCACTCTTCTCAGTGGGTGTATCTACATGTGCACTTTACTGTGGAGTTGACTAATTAGCTCCACAACAAAGTGTTACCAACTACATGTGTGCTGGTATTAGGGCACAGTAAATTTATTAACTCTGCCATTAGGGACAGTTCTATCTTACAGCAAAGCCATTTATTGTGCTGCAATGCATGTGTGGACAGTGATTGGGACAGCAGTACTTTAAGCAAGAGCAGAGTACCCTTGGGCTGGCAGCAGGCCCAGGGGTCAGCCACAGAGCTCCCAGGGCTGCTCCACCTTGGCTCAAAGTGCTGCTGTCCTGTGCATGTGTGTAGATATTGCACCTGGAAGCAGTGTGCTCCAGAGCAAACTGCTCCAGAATTTATCACGTCGCATTGATTGCATGTGTAAGTGCTCCCACTGAGTGGTGAAGCTCTACTTTATTGCTATAGCCATGCTAATCCCCCTGGAATATACTTACGTCTGGCAAATATTGCATTTCAAGGGCTTATTGTTACATCAGTGGCAAAACAAGCCAGGATGGCACCCAGAGCCAACTCTGTGGGAGAGTTGGGGGACCTACAGGTCTGAGAGTTGGGAGTGGGGAGGTGCTGGGCAGGAGAGCAGCAGCCTTACCCATGCTGGGAATTTCTAAACAGTCCTGGCTGAGCTGCTTCCCCCACACATGGTCTGCGCACCTGGCTGTCACTTTTACAGTAACAGCAGCCAGGAACTGTTTTGGAGTTCCCAGCATGGCAATTCTGTCAGGGCATGGACTCTGTGGGGATGAAGGATAGTCTGGTGCCCCTCCTTAACTTGGTGCCTGGGGCAGGTACCCATCTCACCCACTCCTAATTACATTCTGTGTTACATCCTTTTTCTCCTCTTTGTATATGCAGAGGAGGAAGGGAAATAGAAACTGTTGCCACTATCCCATTAGTGGGGAGAACTGGAGAAGCCTCCCTTTCAGTTTCTAGAACGGCTGCAGGTGACTCAAGACTTGTGTTGCTGCAGTTTGCCCCCACTAGGAGTGGGCCTGCTTCCTGAAGCTGCAGGGACCTTGCTGCTACTTGCAAGTGGATGGGATTATTTTTCCAGTTGTGTCTGCCCTGTTAGAGAGAAATTCCATTGCCTGTATACTGAACACCACTGAAATGCAGTTTTTTTTCTGGTGGAGAACAACTTGTCATAGGCAAACAACAATGGGATGGCAAGATTTTTTTCCCAAGCCACCCTCTATAAAATAGACTGCAGGAAGTTAGGGAAGGATTTTCCAAAGCAATAAAGTTTTCTATTGATTTTAAAATGGAAGAGCTAGGCAAATGCTAAGTGCTTTTGAAAAGTCCCTTTTCCTTTAATTCCAATCAGAATACACAGGACGTGCAGCTTTCACAACTACTAATCTAGACTCAAATTCAAAAAAAGAGCTTGGGTATCTGTATCACATTTAAGTCCAAAACTGCTGTCTTGAAACCCATTCAGTTACCACGTCAGAAGTCCCTACACTCCAAAGATACTTCAGTTTTTACTTTAATTTCCCAAATGTAAAGTTCTGTTTTGTATATGCCTTGATATACTTCAGTTTTCATGGACTTGAGCAGCTGAGAGCCAAGTTCATACTGAAACTGAGATAGGATTCAGAAATTAGGCATTGCTGAAGACCTAACTCAGCTGGTCTTGAATCCATAGAAGTTCTTATGCCTAATAACACAAATTTAGGATTGGGCTCTGCATAAACACAATGGTTACTGCCTCCTTCTTTAAAACCCATGCAGTGGAAAAGGAGATGGTGGTGCCCCTTCTTTTATACATTATCTTATTGGTGGTGGCATTTGGTCAAGAAATGGGAGATATGGATTCAGTTTCCTGCTTTACCCTCAGACCTGCATCTCCTACCTGGAGAGTGCCTTTACAACCAAGCTATAGGACATTCTATAGGTACTATAAGGGAGAGATACTCTTCTTGCTCCAATATCTCTTTATATATCTTTGCATGGAACAGCCAATAATCAGAATACTTAAGCAGTCCCTCAAGGAGGGACCAGAATCCAGGTTTCACTCAGCCATCAAGTGAGTGTCTCAATCACTAGGCTAGAGAGTCATTTTACTGCTTCCTTGTTCTCTTTCTGGCCCAATACATCATCAATTCTTTTCTGTTCAGTGGAACAGCCTCAAGAGGATGGTTGAAGAGTATTCCCACAACAGAGCAGCCTATAGCTTTGTGGTACAAGGTGCTCTCCTCACCAACTGTATTTTGAAAGAAAAGACTGAGCTCTGATTTTGAAATAAAGGTCATAGACACCTGCTTTCAGAAAACAGTTCTGTACTGTGTTGCCAGTTGAAGGAAGGTACCTCCCTGCAGCTCAAAATTAGGCACCTAAATCCTAGAGAGGGAGAACATTTAAGAGAGATCTCTGGGCTCAGCTATTTCTATTACCACATTTGCTTGAATCCAAGATGAGAGGGCCTCATATGACATGGGGAAAAAGAGTCCTTCGTCTTGGAATCCAGTGCGAGGCTGCAAGGGGGCAGGCAGCTTCTGTGGTTCTGGCTCTGGCCCTGACCCTGCCGTCTCTCTTCCCCCAGTCTTTCCCTTTTGCCCTTGATATTTAATGTTGCTCTGCACTGGCAGGTTGTGTCCCTACTCCACCTGGAGGCACGGAGCATGGCCCCAGCCCAGATTAGTAGCCTGGGTAAGGGGAGACAGGGGGAAGGGGGCTGGGGACCCAAAGCTGCAGAGGGGCAGGTGGGGGAGGGCGGGGAAGTCTGCAGGGGAGCAAGCACAAAGGGAGTTACGAAAAGCAATGGCAAGTGGGGGGGAGCATTGGACGGGGGCCATAGCTTCAAGTACCCCTTCCAACTACCTCCAGCACTGGGGGAACCAATTTAAGATGCCCCACTAATAATTAGACTCTATACATGGAAAATCATAACAAATTTATACATTTTCCATAAACAGAATGTAATTATTGGGGAGGGGGGGTCATCTTAAATTTAGGACTGTCTTGGATTCAGGTAAATAAGGTATCTAGGCAGTTCCACATTCCATGTGTTAGGTGTTAGGAGTCTTACTGTGAGGTATCTAGCTTTTCCTGTGCCTCCTAGAAAGTTTTCCTCCCCTATAGAGACCCTAGGGTAACATAATAATCCAGAGTTGCACATCTAAAAGGCCAAAGTTCTTAATTTCATAGATTTCATAGACATTAGGGCTGGAAGGGACCTTGGAAGATCATCGAGTCCAGCTCCCTGGCCCAGGGACAGAAAGTCACCAGGGGTCATAGGATCCCAGCAAGATAAACATCCAAATTTCTCTTGAAGGCATTCAAAGTAGGTGCTTGAACCACCTCTGATGACAGGCTATTCCAGACCTTGGGGGCTCGGACAGTAAAGAAGTTCTTCCTTATGTCCAGCCTGAAATGGTCTTGGAGGAGTTTATGAGCATTTGACCTTGTTATCCCTTGGGGTGCTCTGGTGAACAAACGTTCCCCCAGATCCTGGTGAGCACACCTTATAAACTTATAGGCAGCCATCAGATCACCCCTGAGCCTGCACTTTTCGAGGCTGAGGAGTCCCATAGCTCTCGGCCTCTCATCATAAGCTCTGTTTTCCTGACCTCTGATCATGAGTGTGGCTCTCCTCTGCACTCTCTCAAGTTTCTCCACATCCTTTTTGAATTGTGGAGCCCAAAACTGGATGCAGTACTCCAGCTGTAGCCTCACCAAGGCCAAGTACAACGGAAGAATGACGTCTTGGGACTTGCTTGAGAAACATCTATGGATGCAAGCCAGCATTTTGCTCACTGTACTAGCTGCAGCATCAAATTGATGGCTCATGTTCATCTTGTGGTCAATTATGACCCCCAAGTCCCTTTCATTCGTAGTGCTAGCCAGCATAGCACTGCTGAGCCTATAAGCATGCTGCGGGTTTTTCTTCCCGAGGTGGAGAACCTTGTAATTTAGCCTCTAGAAACTATAGTCAAATAGGAGTAAACACAAAATAGAGACCAAGTACACTATTTTGGCTCTAGAAGGAAAGGAGCTCATTGCCATTAGATTTCTACTATAAAATTATTACATTTGGGCTAGTTGGTAATTATTTTTCCCTGTGAAAATAAATTATGAAAGCCTACAAGTTTTTACTCCTGTAATGCTGACATTTTTCTTCACAATTTTTTAGTTCTCATCCAAAAGGAAGATTCTTTTTTGTCACCTGAAAACTTAAAAAGTCAGCTTTTGAATTTTCACTAAATCCCTAACTACTTTTTTAATCAAAATTGATTTCTGTGATCTCTCTCCTTAATGAACATTTTTAAAAATAAAAATCACTATGACAGAAAGTTTTCAAATTTAAATATAAAAAGTGTGAAAGTTACTTGAAGCAAATCCTTCTGTCATCTCTCATTTACATTTCAACGTACACTTTGCCTTATGCGCTTCTTGATGAAGACTCAAGGTGAAGTTAATCATTAGCAATATGTTTACTTTACATAAGCATCTGCTTAGGTTGACAAGAAAACCTCTCAATGCCACAAATTATTTTACCTGTCAGAAATGCTCGTGCTTGTGCTGCTCTGGGTGGATCAGGCGATCAACAGTGTGTGACCAACAAACTCGTTATTTCAAAATACAGTTCATATTCATATACATTACTTTGCTTCTTTCTTGGACCTGATGAAGCATGCTTGAAGCCTGGAAGCTTGTCTCTTTTCTCACCAAACCACTTAAGATGGTCCAACAAAAGATATTACCTCACCTCACAAAACTTTGCATTCAAACATGTCATTTTAAATGAAGTGAGGGAGAAAGAAAATAAACATTTAAATGTATCAAATGGAAAACCAATAGAAGATTTTGGGGACATGTTAACAGTAGCTACAACAGAATAACTGTAGTGCTTCCCCTTATTTTTTAACAAGTGAAGCAACAAATGGCATCAGTTTTAGCATTTATTTAAACATAGGTACTGTAATACTGACCAACAGATGTGTCCTCTGAAAGGCTGAGAAGTGCCATGTTCCCATTTGTGCTGCTTGGTCCATTATCAAAGAAATAGGGGGCATAATTTGCATGAACTGAAATTAAAACAAAACATAACCTGAAGAAAAACATTTAATAATAAACTGCAGTAACCTGATTTTTTTCTACTCTGCCTCTCAGCATAAAAAAAAATACAATCACTTGAGGGAATAATATGAGTGCATAGCATAACCAATTACGCTAATGAACTTCTTCCCTTTCAAAATAAAGATATGGTACCTGTACACATAAATTATACCTGTATAGTATAACACCAGCAGTTCAGTTAACAACATATGAAGAACATGAATTAAAAAAAAAAGAAACACAGGATCCTTCTGAAGAATCTCAAACCTTCAAAAAACTGATTCTTGCAAAATTAACCTTCACTGCCACTCACCATAACTGTAAACAGCTCCTTTACACTGTGTGTGTTTGACATTTTACTATTGGGTAAGCAACCAATCCAATAGTCTAAACATATTGTTTTAAATTATGTCTACTATATGAGCAACAAGCCATAATTAAACAGTTACTTACTTGCTGCCAGATAACAGCAAAGTTAAAAAAAACAAAAACAAAAGCAACAAATTAGTTGTCATTCTACTCACTGACAGTTATAGAATCAAAATAGTCAATTTGAAACAAAATGCAAATATACAAGCATACAAACATAACATATACACATTAATCAGTATTTCAGGAAATAATTTAAGATCCACGTTACCACATCAATAAGGATTATTACAAGATTTAAGGTTATTCCGTATCCTATATATTTAATTGACAAAGTGATTTGTTGTACTCACCCAGGCAAACATGCACCAAACAGAGAACGAAGAATGGAGTGAAATGCCTTACATGCTTCATCCTACTGAAGAAAGGGCTAGTTTCTTCTCTGTTCGAAGGTTTGTTTTGGTTTGGTTTGGGGGTTTTTTTCTGTCTGAAGGGACTGAAATTGTCCTTCAGACTGGTGCGGTGATGAAATGTGAGAGGCAGGAACAGATGTTAAGATGTTAAGCGGATGACACGTCTTAATTTCTGAGGAATTTAAAGAAGCTCCTTCCTACCACCTAATTAGACCAATTACTTTGCAGGGAACTGTGGGACTCTTTTTGAGACAAGGCATGGAGGAATCAGTATCACTCTCAAAGGGTCTGTTGATTGTATTGTACTTATGTTGCCTAATGAACCCCTCTTGACTTCCAGAAGGAAGGTAAAGTTCAGTTTTTTAAATGCATCTTTTATTTTCTAATTTACTTTTCTGTTTTCTAAGAAGTAATATGGTTTTTATTTATTTTACATTTAAACTAACAAGTAAGAATTTCAATATATAAAATGGTAAGCAGCAATACCTTAATATCGACACTTTGAAAGGAGTCTGTCACAGCTGTTAAAGCAGAAAATATCATGTACAGAAGCCATCAGTTGTTCTTCTGTCCATGAAATAGCCTAAAGATAGTAATTAAAAAGTGCTTGGATTTCTATTAGGTTTTTGATGCATCCTTTAGAGCAAGTAAATAATTTTTGACCAACACACTGCATTTTTCACCTGTATCCCAAAAGAAAGTACCAATGAAATAGGTTTTGTATGCAAGGCTGTCTGTTTTATTCAATTAAAACATGAATTTTTAGAGGGCACTTTATTTGCAATAATTTAAAAAACAGAATTCAGTAAATGGAGGGAGAAGAAAGCCACACTGGAAAGTACTTCTACGTAGAACTTAAGAGCTCCTGCTTAAGAGGAACCTGGCAAATAGCAATGATTAGATACCTTCTGGGACATGTGTGAACTGTGATGTACCCATTGAAATTCAGTTTAATGGAGAAATTATTTCCTTTTTAGGAATTTACTCATATATTTTACAATGGTTTTTTTGAGTTAATGGAAGATATGGTACTGAGAACACTTAAAACTTAGTAAGAAACCACATTTTGTCAAGATATTTTAATACATCATTTTGCTCTTCAAGTGTGTTGTAAGTTTTATTTTCTTCTGACAGATATGAACTGAATGGGACTGGGAAGAAAGGACATTTGGAGAAAGAGCCACATCACCACACCTGTTATCCCCAAAGGTATTAAGTAACATTCTTGTTAGTTCTCAGTAAAGCCAGAAAATGCCAACCAATCAAAGAATTAATGAACCTCTAATTGTCTAAAGGTGGTTTTCTCTAGGTCATGCCCATTGGTCTTAACCCATAGCACAGCATTTAAGCACATGCATAATTTTAGAAGGACAACCAGCAAGTATTTTTCTGGGTTGCTTCATTGGTGATGCTATGGAGAATTTGTTCAGTTCATAGAATCTGACCATGGAACAGCTTCAGGTTCAGAAAGATACTACCATCACATCAATACAGGAACTGAGCCACTGGAAGACTTCTGACTCCTTCCTTAATCAGTTCCCTCCTTAATTATGGAGCCGTCTCTAAATAGAGTAGCCACAGAAAGCTAGGAAGAGTGGGAGGAGGAAGATGTTCTGTAGAGGTGGCCTCTTTTCTTCCTTAGAAGCCCAATTTGGTGGCTGAATCTCTGAATCCGAATTGAATCAGGAGACCCTTTAATCTCTCCAAATCGAATTGGAACCCTCCAAATTGATTCAGATAGATTTGGAAAGATTCAACGATTTGGACATAGACACAGCTATAAATGTTTTTTCTACATACCTCAAGGTACCAGGTGGCTTATGAATGCTGTGATGCTGGGGTGGATGGAGTATCCCACAGAAGCATGGGGTAGGGAGAAGGGGGGGTCCCCAGCACGCTCGGCAGCAGACCCGGAAGGGGACCAGAAGCACTTCTGCTCCATTTCCAGGTCCACCGGGGAGCACGCTAGGGGGCTCCCCTGTACTTCCCTGGCTCAGTGATAGGTGCCTTCTGGGTCAGGGAGCACCTGGGGTCCCTCTGTGGGCAATCACTGAGCCAGAAGGGCGCAGGAGGGTCCCCCAGCACACCCAGTGGCAGACACAGGAGTGGACTGGAAGTACTTCTGGTCCACTTCCAGGTTCACTGCCAAGCACGTGGGGGCCCCCCCACTGTGCTCGTGTGGGACATTTCATCTGCCCCAGCATTGCAGCATTCATGAACTGCACCTGGTACCTTGAGGTATGTAGAAAAAAACATTTAAAGCTGTGTCCATGGCCGAATCCCAATTCTCTGAATCGGCATCAAATCTTCAGATTCAGATTTGGCCAAATTGAATAGGGGACGGTGATCCAAATCAATGAATTGAATCACTGTCCCAGATTTGGGCCAAATCCTAATCCAAATCAAATTGAATATGGCCCATTTTGCACACCCCTACCCTAAATCTTTTTCAACAATACAAAGTGCATTGAGAAATAGACCTTGATAAACATATATAATTCCCAATGCATATACTTATAATTGTGTGTGTGTGTGTGTGTGTGTGTGCGCGCACATACCCACCCCTTCTTTAACACCCAAAGACACCAGGAAGCCAGAATCTGGGAGAAGTCTTCAGAAAAGCGATACCAGTGGTAAAGATGCATTGTCCTGGAGCATTCCCAAATTCTCTCGTAAAAAGGGTTTCCTGGTCTGCAGGGACAATTCCAGTGAAGAATATTGCACATCTCTATAACATTCATAATGGATTGTATGCCTCTAACATGATAAATAGGATATGAAAAATATAGTAGTTCATTACTTCCACCATCTCTGGGTAACTCTAGAGTGCTCTGAAAGTTGTATTATTAATATTAATTATTTTTCTTATCCACAAAGACAGCAACACTAAAATAATGTGGAGTAATAACAACATACAAAATCACCTACATGCTGTCCAGGAAAAAATATGTGGCCTGTCTATCACCTGGAGAGATGAATGCCAGGCTGTCAGCAACAACATTGGTTTCATGAGAAAAGTGAGGCTCAATGTATAGCTCAAAAGGAAGTGTAACAGTGGTGGCTGGGGTAGTTAGTACCAATATACAAACTAAAATGCAGGCAGTCCTTGGATTTACGACACAATTGGTTCCTGAAAACTGCGTCTTAAGTCAAAACGTTGTCAGAACCAATTTTCTCATAAAAAAACAATGTTATAAATGGGGGATTGGTTTCTGAACCAAGGCCTGATACCCTATTTTCACCAAAAATACCCCAGAATTTTGTACTCGATCAATTATAGATGAGTTATATAGCTACATTAATGTATTTTTATTGTAAATAGTAATCATAATGATTTGAAAGGACTTCTTTGAAGTGACTTTGCTGCACTTTTTGAAGGGCTCCTGGTTGGACTTTTTGAACAGTTCTTGGCTGGAGTCTTCTCAGGAGTTCTGACTGCAGGTTTTTCTGGACTCTTGTCTGCTTTTTTAAAGAAAGTGTCCAAGGAAGTTTGGACGGATGTTCTCCAGAGAGATGAGCAATGCAGCGAACTTGTTCGCTGGCATGGCATCCCATTGGATCAAGCGTTGTAAAGTCAAAACTGATGTCATAAAGTTGAAACAGGTGCCAATTTATAAACGTTGTAAGCGTGAAATGTTGTAACTCGAAATGTTGTAAGTTGAGGACTGTCTGTATGCTGCCTTTGGTGAAGTTGAAGGGAATGGTGTTGTGAGTAAGAAATATTTACATGTATCTTTGCAAAAGCATGATCTTGATTTGTTCATTTTTGCTATCTTGTTTTTTTCAGATTCTTTCCATATTTCACCTCCTTTCTCCTAGCAGGTCACATTCTAAAAGGCTTGAGGGAATGGTTTAACTCCAATGAAAGAAAACAAGGAATTTTTTATTTTTTCTTACAGGGTAACTTACCAGCAAAGGTGGTAGGAAGCTTCCCCTTTAGTCTCTTAAACTAAGAACAGAGATCACATTTGTTCCTGGACAAGCTGTACGTATGTTTGTCATAGAACAGAAATATTTCAGGATTGGTGTATGCATGTATCACCCTTCTAATGAGGGTTTAGTGAGCTCTTGAATACATTGCTTCTTTTATTCCATTGATTCAATGATGCAATCCAGGTATAACTATTCAGACACACTTTGTGATGTCCTGGGATAAACTGATAGTACTTCTTATCCCATGAACTTTTTTAGGATTTATCCAAGGTTAATGGTTATGCATGTTTGAACAACTGTACTTTTGTCCTGGGATAAAATGGCTTAATCTGGGCCAATGCAACATCTGTTTTGGATTTTCAAAGCAGCTGGGTAAATGATTCTTACTGGAAGCATCTACGCATGCATTTGATCCAGAATCAGTTTACTTGTGAGTAAACGCTCCTGGGCAGGCATCTACATATGCAGGGAAGCGGGACCAGATTTGCTGCTAATGGTAGCAAACTGCTTCTGCTTTCTGGGGCCATGCAATGGGCCCTTGCTGCCACCAGGGGGAGCTCTAGTCTCTTCGTGGGTGCTAGCCTAGGGTCTGGCAGGGAGCACTGGGCTAGGAGACAGCTGTCTTCTGGCTGGGCCTGGGACATTACACTGTTCCCCCTGGGGCTGCCAATTAGGAGCAGGAGACTTCTAAAGAGCTGCAGAGAAGGGGCAGGTCCCAGCCCCCTGCCCTGATCTGCTAGTGAGGCAGCTAGCAGTGAGCTGCCTCACCAGCAGATCTGGGCAGGGGGCTGGGACCTACCTTACCTCTGAAGCTCTTTCTAAGCCTGGTGCCTCAATCACCCAATGGGGCACGGAGCTGGGACCTGCCCCTGAGCAAAATAGTTCCCAGACTCCACTCCATGATTGCAGAGTGGAGGCTGGGGAGCCTGTTCCCCACCCTGCTCCACAATCATGGAGCTGAGTGTTGAACAGGCCCCCTAGCCCCTGCTACCAGGGAGCTCCCAGCACCAGCTCAGTGGTCATGGGGCCAGGGCTGGGAGATCCTTATCTCCCAGCCCAAGCTATGCTGTCATGGGG